CCCCAGACCAGGCACAGGACCCCCCAGCCCCTCTCAGCCAGGGAGAGGGACCCCCAGGACCCCCAAACCTGGCACAGGGACCCCCCTAGCCCCTCAGCTGAGTCCCCCCTGCCCCCCCAGGCCTGACGGAGGAGGACAGCATCTACGTGTTCAAGGAGGATGAGGTGATCGAGTACGACGGGGAGCTGGCGGCGGACACGCTGGTGGAGTTCCTGCTGGATGTGAGAGCCCCCTCCCACCCGCCGGGAGACCCAGGCATCTGGGACCCCCCACTCCAGCTCTCCCTGACCCGGGGGGGTCCCTGGGGACCCTGGTGCTGACCCCTGCCCCCCCCAGGTGCTGGAGGACCCGGTGGAGTTCATCGAGGGTGACCACGAGCTCCAGGCCTTCGAGAACATCGAGGATGACCCCAAACTCATTGGCTACTTCAAGAACGAGGACTCGGAGCGTACGTGGGGCTGGGGCAGCCCCGCGTGTCCCCCTGTGTGCCCCCGTCCCCTCTGTGCCTCCTTCGCCCCCCCAGCCACAGCTCCCAACCCATCCTTCCATCCAGCCATTTGCTTATCCACATCCCTCTGTCCTTCCGTCCGTCCATCCCTCCATGAGGACACCAAGGACTGATCCAGACAACCCTGGGCATGTTTGGGACCGTGGGGTTGGGGGGGTCCTTCTGGAGCCAGAGCCACTGGGATGGATCTGGGCTGGGGGTGCCAGTGCTGGCACCCGGTGCCGGTGCGGGGCCGTGGGACCGATACCCAGTGTCAGTACCCGGTGCCAGTACCCGGTGCCGGTGCCAGGACCCATCTCTGCTCCCCCAGACTTCAAGGCCTTCGAGGAGGCGGCGGAGGAGTTTCACCCCTACATCCCCTTCTTCGCCACCTTTGACAGCAAGGTAGGGGCGAGGGTCCCGGCCAGGCAGGGTCACCCCCTGCCAGCACCCACGGGTGGCTCAGGGACCCCAACCCTGCCCCAGGCGGCCAAGAAGCTGACCCTGAAGCTGAACGAGATCGACTTCTATGAGCCCTTCATGGAGGAGCCGGTGACCATCCCCGACCGGCCCAACAGCAAGGAGGAGATCGTGGCCTTCGTGGAGGAGCACAAGCGGTGGGGGCCCGGCTGCCCCCGGCCCTGCCTCGGTTTCCCCAGTGGGGGCTGCTGGGGGGACCGGGGTGCCATGGGAGCTGGTTGCCATGGGGAGTTGTTTGCTATGGGAGGTGGTTGCCATGGGGAGCGGGTTGCTATGGGAAGTGGTTGCCATGGGACGTGGTTGCCATGGGAGGTGGTTGCCAGGGGGAGATGGTTGCCATGGGAAGGTGGTTGCCAAGGGAGGTGGTTGCCAAGGGACGTGGTTGCCATGGGAGGGGGTTGCCAGGGGGAGATGGTTGCCATGGGAAGGTGGTTGCCAAGGGAGGTGGTTGCCAAGGGACGTGGTTGCCATGGGAGGTGGTTGCCAGGGGGAGATGGTTGCCATGGGAAGGTGGTTGCCATGGGGGGGATGGTTGCCACGGGAGACCGTTGCCAGGGGAGGTGGTTGCCATGGGGACGGGTTGCCATGGGGAGGGGGTTGCCAGGGCAGCCGCAGCCTCGGGGATGGGGGATTGGGGGATTCCCGGGGCGGGGGGGGCCCCCCCCGGGGC